TTAAGTCACATAGGCTACAACCTATGTTAATTAGAATGGATGTAAGACTGTCCTTGAGTCCACCATAGCAGTAGCGGAGGCATTTGGGGACAAGTGCAGTCACTGGCCCCGACTGGAAATTTTTTATTTTTTAAAAAGTACTAGTATGCAACCCAATTTCCTCTAAGCTAAACGTCCTTTACCACATGCGCCATATCCAGCAGCCAAAACTACATTTACAAATTTATAAATAAACCCAATCCTAGACATGTATTTATAAAAAAACCCAAGCACTATTTAAACATAGAAACACACCCAAAATCAACTCCAAAGTCAACTTTTTGGGTGTGTTTATAAATGGGTTTTGAGTGTGTGTAATGATGGGTTTTGGGTGTGTTTATAAAGTGTTTTGGGTGTTGGGTTTTTTTATAATTTCAACCTCCATTTTGGGTGTTTTAGTGAAACTCCCAACTACATTTCCACATGGGCCTTACTGACAAGGCAAATTTCCTACAGCCATACGATACCCATTCCCAAAAGGATTAGAATTATTATTATTATTATTATTATTTTATTATTATTATAATATATTGCCTTCTTGTATAAATCAATGAACCTAAGCCTTTTTCTTTTTTCTTGGGGCAGAAACACGACCAGACCAACCAATTGCTTGTGAGTTTTTTTTTTCCTCAAATTCTAATTATATTATCAAGTTTTTTTTTATTATTTCTATTGATTTTAATGGGTCTTTCAATTAATGTGTAGGGTACTAAAGGGAAAAGGCTTTAGAGATATTTGGTAAATCGCTATTCAACTCCAAGTATGTATTTATCTATCCCTTGTAATTTTTCTTGCGCAGTATGTAATTGTTTATCCCTTTAATGCAATTGTGAACTTGTGTTGGTCAATTTTTAATTTAATTTTATAAATTTCTCTATATATGATTCTCTATTGGTTTGATTAATATATTGCTTTGAATTGAATGCACAATTTGTTCCGGTTTATAAGTTTGAGGAGATGTTCATAATTGTTTCAATTTAAATTTAGTCCATATATGTGTTTCAGTTATGGAAAGATTTTTCAACCAAAAAAAAAAATCAAAGTTTGAGTTAGTGGAGTCGTCACCTGCAAAGAGTCATAAGAAAAATGAATGTAGTTCAAACCAAACTATGGAAGTTAACTTGGAAAATCTGTCTGCTGATCCCGGATTACATAATCAAATATTGAGTTACCATCCAAATGTTCGAGACCATGTTTGAAGAGCTTATCTCCAAAAGGTCGTTTTCAAACTCGAGGGCATAATTTTCCTTACAAAAATTTCGGAGCAAAACAAAGAAGGTTTAATCCTGCTTGGTTTAGTGAGTTTCCTACTTGGTTGGAGTAAATCATAGAAAGAGATTTTGTCTTTTGTCTATGTTGTTACCTCTTTAAACTTGATATTGGAGAGCAATCCCGTTGTGAATCTTTTGTTGTGTTGGATTTTCGAATTGGAAGAAAAATGATAGACTACAAATTTATGTTGGAGGACCGAATAGTGTCCATAATAAAGCTTGGAGAAGTTGTGAGGTCTTATTAAACCAAAAGCAACATATTAAAACAATTCTCTCAAAACACTCAAACAAAGATCGAATTGATTATCGAACTCATTTAAGTGTATCAGTTGGTGTTAGTAAGATACTTTTACAACAAGGGTTTCCATTTCGTGGGCATGATGAATCTGAAAATTCAACCAATAAAGGGAATTATCTTGCATTTTTACGATGGCTATGTCGTTTCAATGATGATATAAAAGCTGTCACAATAACAAATGCTCTTGAAAATATGAAGTTGGCAAAGAAACATTCAGAATTACATATTTATTTACTATGGTTTCAAATATAGTGAATGTTGTGGGTGCATCCGCTAAAAGCAACTCCACCCATTTGCCCTTTGCCATGGCAAAGAGAGGGGGGGTGGGTAGGGCAGCTACTATTCACGTGAATAGTGGCTGCCCTTGCAAAAAGCAATGTGTGTTTCCACCTGTTGCCATGGCAAAGGGCAAATACTATTAATCTTTTTTGTTTTTTCCACAAATTTTTTTACCTAAACAATTAATTTGGATAATATTTTTGGATAAGATTTTTGGGTTCGTATGTGTCAATATTTATTATACAATTCATATCCCATAATTGGATAAAATTTTCAGATAAGATTTTCGGTTTCAAATTTCAGATAAATTTCAAATTTCAAATAAGATTTTTACCCTCTAAAATCGCGCCACGTGTCATCTCTATCTACCTAAATTTTTCTATAAAACCAGAGGCTCAGCTCATATCTCTCACACCAGATCTTCTCTATATTTTCATTTCTCAAATTTTAGAATTCATACTCCATTCTCAATGTCAGACATGAGCAGATGCTTGGAGAGGCAAGAGTGAGAAACGAAAGAAAGAAGGCATAGACGAGCTAAAGGCAAAAGGGTGCAAAGAAAACTAGATCAACAAGTTGTCATAGCAGTGGCTTTGCTTGATGAAAAAAACCAAGGCCACCGCCGTGGTTCACAAGTCGGCCGTAGCCTAAATGTGGATAGACACAGGCATTCTTGGGGTAAGAATCTTCTGGAAGATTATTTTATCACAACTTCTCTATACTTTGATGTTGATTTTTGACGGCGATATAGAATGCAATCCCATTTGTTCAATAAAGTCATGCATGATATTTGCAATTATGATGAATACTTTGTTCAAAAGTGTGATGTTGCTGGAGAGGTATTTTGGTATCCTCCAAGCCCGATGGGCTATTATTAGGGGTGCGGCGCGTCTGTTTGATGAGGAGGTGCTGAGGAGCATAATGATGACATGCATCATCATCCATAACATGATTGTGGAGGATGAGTATGATTACGATGCTGCAGACGTGTACGAATCGAATCCCATGACCACGGCCTTGACAAGAATTTATGAAAAACCCATGGGGCCTGATAAGTCCATAAATATACTCATTTATGTACTCTTTTTACTTAGGTTTTGTAGGAGAATTAGATTTAAAAGGAGCTTATTACTTTACTTTTATGATTTTCAGCTTTTTTGCGCTTTTAGAAGGTTTAAAGGGAAAATCAACTTTTTGGAGGAATTTTAGCACAAGGCCAATTGGAGATGAAAGCTAACATCTTGACGTTCAATCTGTGATTTTTGTAGAATTTTCTATTGAGCCAATTCGTACAGTATTACAAGTAAATTTAGCCTACGTGCAGACATGACAGTTTCGTACATGTTAAGTGAATGTGAAGAAACGGAAGCCTTCCCGAATTTTCCAAGTTACGCACTCTATATGGTTGGAAATATAAGACATTTATCTTTCTAAAATATATTTTTAATGATTTTTCTAGAAGGCTGAAGATCCCCAAATTGTGTGACAATTGGGCTGAGCTGTATTTCCCTATGGAGTTAGGAATTGTGATTTTTACTTTCCTATTCGGACTCCTTGTTTACCAAGACTTCTTGGACGACTCTTCAGTCAATTTTAGGGTTTATAACTCTGATATAAGTCATATAAAAGGCCAGCCAAGGCCCCTATACAAAGGATTCACGTCATAAGGAGATCAATCGTGCAAGAGGAGAAAGCTGCCAATGAATTCTTTCTTTTCCTTTCTTCTTTTAATTTTCAGTTCTTATGTATTTATTTTTGAGACCATCCAAGAACATGAGTAACTAATTTCTTCTTAGTTAGGGCTTAATCTTGAAGCCCTAAACATGATTTCAATTCTATAAACAAGTTTGAATGGATTTTTCAGTTATGTGAATTCTGATATTCTGTTTCTTCAAGTAGCTAACTTGGAAGCATGTATTGGAATTAAATTGTTGTAGAACATAGGTCAATTTCCATATTGAATGTATTCTTGTTTGCAACGAATAATTGGGTTAAGAACTAGTTATGAGAAATCGATTCTTGAATTCCTAATAACAAATTCCATGTTTTAGGGTTTTTGTGACACTCATATTCTCTTTGATCTTAATGAATTCTTGATTGTTAATTTGAGTAAATTTCATACTAGATTTCAATTAAGAATACACGTATTGATGTAAATGCCATACACTTTACATACACTTAAGAGAGAATCATACAACTCGAGTCAAATGCCATGATCTTGTTGTGAGTGTCGTCATCATATGCTTGCTAGAAATTGATTATCTATTGTTGTTTATGGATTGATTGATTGTTTGAAGGTGGATAGTAAGTCCTAGCTATTGTTCTTGATTGATTTTAAACCAATTTCTCTTAAATTCTAATTTAAATTATGTTTTCTTTTCTTTTCCTTATTTTATTTTATTCACAAAATCAAATCAAAACCCCCCTTGGTGTTGGCATGTGTGTGGAAGTCCTTGTGGTTTCAATCTTTATTTTGTTTTCGTGTTTAATTGTGTTTTAGTTTTCATTGTGTGACATTGATAAACATCTATTTAGATCACAATCTCTGTGGATCGACCCTTACTTGCTTACTATACTATCATTTGATGTGTGCACTTGCAAGGTTTTAATATTGTTGTTAAAAATTACCAACAGGGCCAAATGTAGAACCATTGCAGCTTGAACCGTTGGTTATGGACGGTCGTTTCATGACCCGTATGATTAATCGATATACGGAGATGCAATCGTCTTATATTCATGAATGACGTCAAGTTGACTTGATGGAGCATTTGTAGGCGGTGAAAGGCAATGATGGTGAATGAAGTGAAGTGAAGATGTTTTTTTTCTTTTATTATGCTTAGGTTATGTTTTATTTTTAGTTATGCTTTGGTTGTGGTTTTATTTTTTTAATGCTTTGGTTGTGGTTTGTTTTTTAGTTATGCTTTGTTTGTGGGATTTTATGTATGGAATGTTTTGAATAAAAATGTATTTTATTGAATGCTTTCTTTATTCACTCAAAGAAAACCAATACAAGTAATTAAGAATTACTACTAATTAAATAAAATACATGAATTACAACTAATTTTTAAAACAAAATATTAAAATACAATGAAATAAAAGGCAAGCAAACTAACTTAATGGTTTTGATAATTTAACCAATCCGTGTTGCTAGGTCCATCATCACGGAAAAGTCTTCTTCTCATAACATCCGTTTGTTCTAGCTTCCAAAATTGTTTTGTTTCAAGGGACATATGGCTTGTATCCATGGCTATGGTTTCCCGATCATTCCTCTCAATGTTTTCTTTGCATACATACTCCCTTTCTTTTGCATATTCTACTTGAATTGCCCTCTCGTCTTCTTGGGTTTTCATGTCTATTTCAATTCTCATGGCGCTTTGCCTTACAATTTCCTCCAAAAATTTAGATGTATTACTGCTAGAATTACTCCCTCTCTTCGCCTTCGCCGCCTTTCTCCCAATAGGCCTCGGCTCCTTTTGGATAGGTGAGTCTTGATTCATCAGGGAATCCAAAGGCGAATCCGGTGCCGGTGAATCATGGAGTGGCGTCTCGTTCAACACAACGGTCGAACCCGTTGGAATAATTCGGAATCTAGAACAATTCTTCACCACCTCCCAACATTAGTCATGGTTGAAAGTTTTTTTCCCTTACCCAATAGCACCAAACCACATTTGTGCTTGCATAATCTATTTAAAAAATATATTGGAAATCCAAGAAACATTAAAAAAAATATTGGAATTGCAAGAAATATTAACAAAATATTGTAAATGCAAGAAATATTAACAAAATATTGTAAATGCAAGAAATATTAACAAAATATTTGAAATGCAAGACATATTAACAAAATATTGTAAATGCAAGAAATATTAACAAAATATTGGAAATGCAAGAAATATTAACAAAATATTGAAAAAAAAAAAAGGACATTAAAATTAATAAAACGAAGATTACAAATAATTTACCTCATTGCTAAGATTTTCCCCACTTCTATGGTTGTCCCTCGCTTTTGCCAAGGCATCTCTCTATTTCCCCAACTCTTTATTGAGAATTTTCCACCTACTGGACAATGCCATTTTCGTACGGGTCGAACCCGATCTTTCACAAAATTCGGTAGAATTTTTCTCCACATATGACAGAATTTCATCTCATTGCCCGTGACGGGACAATGACTAATTTGAACCCAACACTCACACAACAAAACATCTTCCATGATGCTCCATGCCCCTCCAGTTTCAATAGAAGAAGCCACAAGATGATAAATAAAAATAAAATTTGAAAGTGAATAAAATGTTGAATATAAAGTGAATAATAGTTGAAGGAGAAGAAAATGTACGAGGATTTTGTGTTAAAGTGAAGAGTATTGGTTGGTATTTATAGAAAAAAATTTCATTAATTTTTGGGTATTTTTTTTTTAAATTTTTGAACTTTTTTCATAACTTTAGTGCAAAAAAAATTGCAGCCGTTGGATTGGAGAAAAATCGATCGGAGCGCCCAAAGGCTGCCACGTGGCTCTTAGTCGTTGGCGGAAAGTCAGGGCTGATGCCAGTCTGGCGTCAGCAATGACGTCACACCAAAACTCGAGCTCACCTGGTTCTGTGGGACCCATAGGCTACTAGGGTTAAACAGGCCCATTGGAAACGAATTTTGGGCTCTCCCTCTCCAACCCCCTCTTCCCCCCAAGCCCTAACCGATGGAACAACTCTAAGCATCGTGATATGCTGAGAGAAAAGCATGCTGATATAGTTTTTGAAGCACTCAATAACAATGAGCTCTTAAGTGGGCAAGACCTAAATCAAGAAACTAATCTTAAGTGGTCTAGTGATACACGATGAAGCTCTCATTATAATTATTTAATCAGTTTGGAAAACATATTCCTGTCTGTAATAGATGTGTTTAAGATTGTAAGAACAGATGGATCTGGTTATGAACAAAAATTTGAACTAAAGGCTCTATTGACTTTTATGCAATCATTCAGCTTCCTTTTTGTTCTACACTGGAGGGAAAAAAATTTGGGAATCACAAACAACTTGTCTCAGTCATTACAAAAGAAATATCAAGATATTGTGAATGCCATGGACTTGGTCAAATTATGTAAAGGAAGATTATAAAGTACGAGAGATAATGGTTGGGATTCTTTACTTGATCAAGTTTCTTTCTTTTGTGGCAAGTATCATATTGAAATTCCTAAAATGGATGACATTTTTTCTAGTGGAGGGAGACCAAAACGTAAAGCTCAGCCCATCACAAACTTACATGATTATCGTGTTGATTTATTCGTTGATGTCATTGATATTCAGCTCCGAGAGTTAAATGATTGGTTCAATGAGAAGAATACTGAATCACTTCTTTGTATGGCATGTTTGAGTCCAAGTAATTCATTCTTTGCTTTTGATAAAGCAAAGTTGATGTGCCTTGCCCAATTTTATCCAAGTAATTTTTCTTAACATAACCTCAAGTTGCTCGAAGAACAACTTGAGGGTTACATTTGGGACGTGAGCTCAAACAATGAATTTACATAATTGAAAGGGATTACTGATCTTGCGCAAAAGATGGTTGAGACAAAAAAATTAGATCTACCATTTAGTGTACTTGGTTTTGACACTAGCATTAATCCTACCTATTGCGACTGCAAGTGTAGAGTGAGTATTTTCTGCTATGAATATTGTGAAGAATCGGTTACGCAATCGAATGGGGGAATTGTGGATGAATGATTGCTTGGATGTATATATTGAGAAATACATTTTTAATAGTATAGCTGACGAGGTTGTTATGTAATGATTTCAAAATATGAAAACTTGTCGAGGACAATTATGATCGTAATGAACAGACAATATGGACAATATGATTTTTTATGTTTTGATGTCTTGTGAGTTCGAAGTTTTTATTATTTATATTGTGTGAGAGGCCCCCAGACAGATGAAATCCTGACTTCGCCACTGCGCCATAACTGAATTCTCAGAACTCCCAAACTCCAATGGCATCAAGGCTTTGGAGCTTCGCCTCAGTGATGGCAAAGTAACCGCCAACAATGACCACGTTATCTTTCTCTCTGATATACATGATATATTTATCTATGTATCAAGATCGGGGGACACACCAAAAACCACATATTCATACACACTAGGATGACATTGAAAAAGAAATCAACTCGCTCATCAACATGATTAATATGCCTTGAAAGTAACAAATTCTCTCTCCTCTATCCTCATAATGCATAGATTGATGAACTGGGTGGTTTAAAAACTAAGGTTAGTGGGGTTGATGGGTATGTGGCTATGTTGCCTTTTGATTTCCATATATCAAAGCAAGGTTGGCTAATTTACAGGGTTGTGGCTGTACACAATGTTTGATGTAATCTTTGAATTAAAGCTAGCCAGTAATTTCACCTGTTTTCAAGCAGTTAGGCCGTAATTTGCTGATTTTTATTTTTTTGGCCAAGTTGTTGGATGCAGTTCTGTTTAGTACAAATGGAACTATATATTTTTGGCTTTTCCAGCATTTAAACTACAACATATGATTGAACACAAAACAAATGGTATAAAAGAGTACAATGTGCTGCCTTGAAATATTTCTTATTTTCGATTGAGAATTAATATTTGTGGGACAATTTGATGCCCAGATTTCTGAAAGCCTCTGGCAGTGATTGAAATGCATCTGTAGCCATCTAAATATGTAAACTTTGATTAGAGAAGTATTCTTCCCCCAAATTTTCTTTTATTTTTGTTTGTCAAGACTTGTGAGATTCTCTTTATATTGATGTTGCAAACACATATGCGGTCGTTTCAGGAATCACTACTACAAAAAGTGAAAAAGACGACCAGAAAAAGACGACGGTAGAAGAAAAAACCATTGTCGTTTTTAAAAAGATGACGGTAACAAAAAACGGTCATGGATAAGTGACTTAAACAACTAAAAAACAGAGGTACTGTTGAATATTTTTTTATAACGACGCACACAAATAAAAAAGCGTCGTCTTATTAAAAAGGTTTTCTTCAGAGTTAAAATCTGACCAAAAAACAACGACAGCAGGTATGACAAACGTCATCTTTTAAAAATCAAGTGTCCTTTTTTTTTGTAAAGACATGGTTGTTTTGAAGCAACTGTCGTCTATTATATGTAAAGATGACGGTTTATTTAAAAGAATCGTCTATTATGAAGTAAAGATGATGGTTTGTTTAGGGTCGTCTGTTATGAAGTAAAGATGACGGTTTTTTTAAAAAAAATGGTCGTCTATTATATGTAAAGATGATGGTTTGTTTAAAAAAAGGTCATCATTATGAAGTAAAGATGACGGTTTTTTTAAAAAAAGGGTCGTCTATTATGAAGTAAAGATGACGATTTTTTTTTAAAAAGAGTCGTCTATTATATGTAAAGATGATGGCTTGTTTAAAAAAGGGTTGTCTATTATGAAGTAAAGATGACGGTTTTTTTTTAAAAAAGGGTCAGTCTATTATATGTAAATATGATGGTTTGTTTAAAAAAGGGTTGTCTATTATGAAGTAAAGATGACGGTTTTTTTTTAAAAAAGGGTAGTCTATTATATGTAAAGATGATGGTTTGTTTAAAAAAGAGTTGTCTATTTTTAAGTAAAGATGATGGTTTTTTTTTAAAATGTCGTCTATTATATATGTAAAGATGATGGTTTGTTTAAAAGGGTTGTCTATTATGAAGTAAAGATGATGGTTTTTTTTAAAAAGAGTCGTCTATTATATGTAAAGATGACGCTTTTTATAAAAAAAAAGGTCGTCTATTATGAAGTAAAGATGACGGTTTTTAAAAAAAAGGGTCGTCTATTATATGTAAAGATGACGATTTTTATAAAAAATCGTTGTCTATTATATGTAAAGATGACGGTTTTTTTTAAAAAATGGTCATCTATTATATATGTAAAGATGACGGTTTGTTTTAAAAAGGGTCGTCTATTATGAAGTAAAGATGACGGTTTTTTAAAAAAAGAGTCGTCTATTATATGTAAAGAAAGGTCGTCTATTATGAAGTAAAGACGACGGTTTTTTTTTAAAAAGGGTCGTCTATTATATGTAAAGATGACGCTTTTTATTAAAAATCGTCGTCTATTATATGTAAAGATGACCGTTTTTTTTTAAAAAGGTCGTCTATTATATGTAAAGATGACGCTTTTTATAAAAACCATAGTCTATTATAAAGATGACGGTTTTTTTTTAAAAAGTGTCGTCTATTATATGTAACGGCCCGTTCCCCGGAAGTGCCCCCAACCTCTAAAACCTTACGCGGGGGGATAGCATAGCACAGTACTTCGGGCCTAGAGTGAAGCAGTCTGGTTCTTTAGAACCTAGGGCGAACGAACAGCTCCTTCATCTCGGAGGGGCAACTCCTTCACTTTTAAATAAAGCGACGCCCCACCGTGCCCACCCAACAAGCTAGGTTGCTTGCAAGACAATTGCACTGAAGGCGAGTCAAGAAGGAACGGAGAGTTTACAATTCACGCATCCAGTAAAAAAGGGTCATCTATTATATGTAAAGATGACGGTTTTTTTTTTAAAATGTCGTCCATTATATGTAAAGATGATGGTTTGTTTAAAAAATGGTTGTCTATTATGAAGTAAAGATTATGGTTTTTTTTTAAAATAGTCGTCTGTTATATGTAAAGATGATCGGAGTTAAAATAACCGTTAAATTGTGATTTTTCATTTATAACCGTCGAAAAGTTTTGTCCCATTACTTGATATCTGAATGTTTATTTTTTCCGATTTTTGGCATATATGATCTTGAAGTATAAACAAACAAGTTTGACAGTTGGATCGTTAAAACTAGTTTTGTTGAATGCGTATGCCATCAAAACAATATATTCACTAACAATTAAGAGTTTATCTATATTTTCGTTAAATATAACATAAGATTTTGTAGTATCCACTAGTGTAAATATTTTATTAAAAACAGTCGTCTTTCCTCCTATAATTAACGATCTTTACCTCTAAATAACGACGATTTTTTTTAAAAACCGTCGTCGTTATAGATAAACAACGACGGTGAAAAGCCGTTGTAGTTTGACACCCAAATAGATGATGGTCGATTTCACGACGGTTGGAAAACCTTTTACTCGACGGTGGTTTCCCGTCGTCTATTTCGATTTTTGTAGTAGTGAATTAAAACAGCCGTGAAATTAATGAAAGTGTGTGGTCTTCGTAGAGTTGTTATACCGCCATCATAAGGGTATCTATGGTATGCATGGGCACACTTGTGTCTAAAGTATAAACAGAGAGAGAGAGAGAGAGAGAGAGAGAGAGATGTTTTAATTTCTCAAAAGTTTTTTAGAACTATTTTATTATTGAGAAAATTATACAAAATTCCCATTTAACACATGTAGCACCAGCACTTTTTGCCTTTGGGCCCATCAGCACGGCAAAGTCCCATCTTTCCTTTCTCTCCTTTGCATTTTTTGTCACACTCTGGGTGGGCTGTGCAGGTGGTCATCGACTTGCTCGCCTGCTTGCATGCTCTTCCTTCTACCACTGGCATTTCTGTATATTATCACAAAACAATATTAGTTTCTTAATTTCTTATATTCTTCTTAATTATACAGCTTTCTAAGACTAATAACAAAAACAAAGAAGGTATGTTTGGGATGTCATGTCCAATAAAATTAGTAACATTATTACAAACTTTGGGGGTTCGTGCGAATTGTCTTGCAGTGCAAGAAATGATTTAAATATAAACTTTTCGAGTTGACAAGGGTTTGAAGATCACTCACCCATGGAAGCAACGAGAAGGAGAGCTATTAGGAGAACAACTGTGGTGCTGGAGGCAACAGATTTTGCCATCTCTGAAGAGTTTAGGATTGAAAGTGGTTGGATTCGAGAATTTCCAATCCAACTTACAACCCTATTCTTGAGAATGCAAGCAAGGTCTAGCTTCCAATTTATAGTTGGAAGTTGTCCCTTTGTTTAGGTTTTTTCATCAAATAAGGCACGGATTTATAGCTGCCTTTTCTTATTTTCAGTAGTGGAAAAATAGAAATTAGGCACAGTCAATTGCTATTCTTATGGGTTTAGTTGTGATTCCAAAGTTAAAAACCACATTTTACGGTTTGACTTCTCCCATAAGTATACGAATACTTCATATATCCTTTTTTATTAGTGGGAAATGCTTTTTCTAATTTTCTATTAATTGACAGTTTCCAATTAGGATATGAGATGGATCATGGATTCTTTTCTTTCAAAGCATTCTCGTTGGTCCAATCAACCAGAGAAATGTGTGGTTTCTGAACCCATTGAGATGACCCAAGAATTTCGCTAAATTCTGGATGCTTCCCACTTTGTTTTTATTATGCTTCTGATTCAGTTTTATTGTTTCTAGTTTCTATGTTTGTGTAAACTTGCAGTAAAATATGCAAAATATTCACTTTTGGTAAAATACTGAGAAATACACCACACCTCTCAGTTACAAAATAAGTTACGGACTTGGATATGCACAAACTCAAACTCGGTTCTTGCACAAAATGTCCTGCTAACATAGGTGGGCTAAAGCCCCCCTAAGAATGGAAGAGGAAACTTCTTTCTTTGGGGGTCAAAGGGCTATTCTGTTAAACTCCCACACTTATTCCCTCCTCTTCCCAAGTCTGACCATTGATAACTCTCACACAACACAAGTTTCACCATCATTCTCTTCAAAGCTGAGAGCTCCAGCTCTCCTTCTTCACGTCAGTCTTGTTGACTGCTTCGAAACCCATATCTCCTCAGCTCAAAATGAAATATTTCCTTCTTCAGACTTGTTTATCTGTTTGTCTTCTAAAACATATAAAAAATTGAGCCCAATCGAAGAAGTTTATTTACCTAAAATTCAGTTTGAGTACAAGCTGTTCGTCACAACATGATTCTCTGCGTAAGGCTCGGGTTTGGCCTTAAATGTCTATTTGCCACTGTTCTTTTGGTGAAGTAGTATTCATCAAACTTGTTCCTCTGTTCAAGAGCTACAATATCCAAACATCAAGGCAATCTGAGATGTCTATCTACCTCAAATCCTGTTCAAGGTGAGACTAGTCTTCACTTTCGATCTGTTTGCTGGTTTCACTCTAGTGTGCCCTTATTCATTCTTGTATGTGGCCTTCCTCTGATCTAATGGCTTCGTTCCTTTCATCAAAGTTGTTTATCTATGTCTTGGATATAATCTTTCAAAATTGGAGCTTCATCCAAGAAGTGTAGTCATCTCAAAGCGTGCTGAAGTGTCGCCTGCTCATTCCTGTCTGCTGTATTGATGTAGGCTCGAATTCTTTCTTGCACGTCAATTTATATTGATCATTCGACAACAATTTATTCATACGAGCTGTTCCTTCATTACAGAACTATTACATATCCAAAATCCACATCAATTGGAGTTCTCTAACCACCTGAAACCTTGTTCAAGGTCAGTAAGTCATCTGTTCTGCTGTTTTAACTCTACAGCACCTTACTCACTCTTGCATGTCGATTTCCCTTGCTCAGATGACCAAGGTTGCTTCTTGAATGTTGCTCAGTTTTCTGTTCTCTACAACATATCCAAAGATGGTGGACATACAACAAGTTTAGGTCACTCGGACGTAGTATAACTGAAACAAGCTCCTCTCTTGTTATCAAGTGTTGTTTGGTTGTTTTACACCTTGGGGGCCTTCTTTGTGCATTACAGAAATATTCAGAGGATTGGGGTAAAGTTTAAGTTGGTTCAATTGTTGGAAAAATCTGTTCAAAAGTTGTATTCATGGAATTGAATGGATTCTTGAGTTTAAAGCTAAGTTAATTGCAATTTGGAAAAACTAGTGAGAACTATTTGAGTTTGAATGTTTAACTTGCTTTGAAACTAAACTTGGCAGAAGGAAATTCTGGATTTTAGCCTAGGAATATACTGTTTTGGCACCAGGGACCAATCTGTAAAGGAAGTTACAGTCTTGGGCAGATTTGTAATTTTCTTGAAAGTTTGTGGGCCAAAATGTAATCACCCAAAAGTTTGGGGTAAACTGTGTAATTCAAAATTTAATGGGACATAAGTCTAATTATGGTTTAATTAAGGACCTAAGTGGTTTTACAAAAGTCTCAAGGTCTAAGAAATGATAAAAGGAAATTAAAGGACAAATTGTGGAAACTTTGTTACTATATAGGGATGTTATAGTAACATGAGTTTATATTGTTCGACTAGGAACTTCTCGTTCGTCGTTAACATACTTGGAATCCCGGGTAAACTAGGAATTTATTTTAAAGTTCTCGTCTGAAGTATTTTAATTAATCTAATATTCGTATTCTTAAATAGTTACTCCGGCCCAGCGTACTCAACAGGCGAGACCCTCTCAGGGTCAAGCAACGTTGAATTATCTATGAGTGGATTTTGTTTTAAATAATAATCATTATTTTCAAGGATGGAAAAATATGCATAATCAGTTATTTGATTTTTGAGTTGTTATATTTAAATGTTGAAATATAATATTTTTATGAAAGTATTGGAAGGATATTTGGATATTTGTACATTGTGATTATCTTGTATTGTTAAATGCTATTTTTGAGAGATACTATCTATATTGGATATATGTTGGGTACATGGGGTTGTTGGTAAGAGGTTGTGGAATTAGAATGGGTTGTGGTTCATGTCAGTTTGGAGTTCTTTCAGTACAACCCTATGTACCTCCTCAGCTATTGAATATTTGGATTGGAAACATGGTGATATGTGATACTTGAATATGTCGGAACTCGGGCACCCTTGACAGGGTGTTTCGTAGACCCTTAGCGGGGTTAGTCTGCGCGCGTAGGACTTGTCACAGGCGTACGAATATTGAGAATTCTACTGTACGAGCTAGTGAGCCCAATCCCCCGGTTGATTGTTTCCTCGGTACAAGTTTGGTAGTGGCCTTATATATATATATTTGTACCTATACATTCATTCTTATTTGTTGGTGAGCTTCTTCTCTCGTCGTGCCAACGGGCACACGTTTTGAGAAAGTAGTTTGGGATAATGGGAAAGGTTTTGAATGAGATTGGTGATAGTATACTATTACGAAATTACGGATTTCACTTTGGTCTTGACTTAACTACATATATATAGCTACGACGGTTTGAATGCATGTCCTTTTAGCATCGTCTTTCAAACGGTGGGGTTACTATATGTTGTTTTCAAATATAACAATACTTTATTTTTGTCCACCCACAAGTTTTATGTTTTGCGCCCTCCATGCAGTAGCTCAAGCTAGTCAAGCGGCCGAGCCGAGACCCGAATTTCCGAGCTCTAACTTTATGTAGGACAAATTTGCACTTGTTTCTATTCCGTTGAACTTTATTTTCGTTTGTAAACTGAAACTCTTTAGATTGCTCTATTATCGCCCATACAAGTGTTGGATGATTTTAATGTGTTTGACAAGTTTAAAATTTGGTAAATGTTCGTTTTTCAGGGGAGATTTTGCCAAAATTTTGGCAAAAAGTCTCGTCTTTCTTAGTAAGTGGACCCAACATTAGATTGATGTCGGAAATACATAGAATCCATCGCGGATTCCAAGGAATTAGGGGCGAGTCCTATCAAGATTACATCTTTATGTAGATCTTGAAATCTAAATGCCTCATATGGAAACAAAAATTATACAATTGTGGCAATATCCCTCCCATATTCCATTTTGATGCGATTTCTTTTCTTTCTCTTTCCTTTTTCCATTCCCACCATACCAGACTTTTATCTTTTGAATTTTTCGCTTACTGAAGGAAACTAGATATGGTAAATTCAAAGAAGCAAAACGTCGTCTACTTTTTATTATTATTATTATTATTTTTCTGCTTCACTTTCTTTGATGTTAAAAAGAAAAAAATATATACTTTTTTCAATTTAAATTGATATGGGGTTAGGGTATAGAGAGGAGAAAAATCCAGTCAACCTTCGGGATGTTGCACGGACACTCCAAACTGCTGGAGTGTCAGAGTGTCGAACACGGCGAATGGCTCCAACACGCCCCCAACATGCATTGGACATGGTCAACGGTTGGGACACGGTCAAGACACAGCTCCGACACGGCCAAGACACGATAGGGACCAGTTTGAAAATTTCAAAATAAAATCTGGGGTCTAAACGTGATTTTTGAAACTTTGGTGGACTGATTTGAAATATTTTTAAAATAGGGGCTAAAAGTGGAAAAATACTTTTTAAAACCTAAATCTCACTTTTTCTGCTGCCGAAGTTCATTTCCTCCGTCACAGCTCTTCTCCTCCCCTTCTCCTGGTTTTGCACAAGGTAAGTCTCTTTTCAATTATTTTTTTCTCTGTTTTCAAATGCATTTATTTATGTTCTCTATTTGCTTTTCTTATCTCCATCCACAGCAGTGGAAGATCTGGACTTGGTGGTGAGGTGACAATTCTTTCTTCTGTTTTTTTTAAGAGAAACACAATAAATAATAAGACATAGATGCTTGAAGAAGATTGAGAGTTAGATCATTTATGTTTTATTTTGTGGTCTATTAATTATTATGTATGGATAATGAACATGAGTTATTTGTTTTGTTTTATGGAATTATGTAACATTGAAGTATTGAGAATAAATTATTATTTTAATTGCCGTGTCCTAGCCGTACCCGTGTCCTAATTTTTTGAGATTTTCCATGTCGCCATGTCCTCGTGTCGCATTCCCGTGTCCTCATACCCGTGTCCGTGCAACATATTTATGTTGAAAGAAAAATATGGCAAGAGTTGGTAACTTGAGTGGTGTTTGTGCAAATTTCTCACGGGAGAATATTTGCAGATGATTATTCTCTCTCGTTCATCCCTCCTTCTAGATTCCCTGCAAGACAAAATAAATCAATCGAAAAACCACTGGTGTGGTGGTGGCCAAGGTCTCTCCGATGCCTAAGTAAGTAATAACACAAGGTATTTCTAAAAGGTGCGGAGATATTTCTCTATGGGAGAAAAAGATGGCTTGGGAGCTAAGTAGATAAGAGAGGTGGCGATAGCCTGGGTTGGTCAGCCACGAGTATAAAAGCAAGGGAGGATTTCGGCGAGAGAGAGAGAGAGAGAGAGAGAGAGAGAGAGAGAGAGAGAGAGAGAGAGAGAGAGGAGAGAGAGAGAGAGAGAGAGAGAGTAATTTTAGGGATTTTTTCAATTTAGGAAGAGTTACCTTATTTGTGTGTCTTCCCTTTAGCTTAAATAGATTTTCCTTTCTTATAACATTCCTTTTCCAATTAAGGAGAGAATAATTGAGAATTATTCCTCTCATGATTAATTGAGTTGAGGGAAGTTATGGAAGGAAATAAATAGATTGAGGGAATTTATGGAATTTATTCTCTCAACCTAAATAGGGAACCCCAATATTAAATATATTATTAAATCAGAATATTGATTTAAATAATATATTCTTAGGGTTTGCTTCTTTTCCACTTGGCTCCTCCTGATTGGTTGCTGATTTATTTGCTCCCACAAGTGGCACAACATTTACTATGTGTTCACCGAGAGTCCTCCTTCCCCACTTCTATTCTCAGTTTTACATAGAGGTGTCAAATAGATTGGGTCATGCTTGGGTGTCAAACGGACCGGGCCGGCCCAAGCATATATAGCTAGAGGTGTCAAACGGGCCGTGTCGGGCCTGCCCATCCCATTTAAACTCGTGCTTTTAACATTTTCGTGTCTGGCCGGGCCGGCCCATTTAATTTATCGGGCCGTGCCGTGCCGGCCCATTTAGTAAAATCATTTATCCCGGCCCGGCCCAAAGCCCATGTCCATATTGAAACGGGCTGGGCCGGGCTCGTGCCGTGCCCGTGCTCGTGCTCATGCCATACTTGGGCCCAAGAACCAATCCATTTAATTTGAATTTTTTTCACTTCATTTTTTTTTCCACTAGATAATTCAAATTATAAACATTAAAAATATAAATAGAGGCAAGAAATGATGAACTATTTGAAAACATTAATCAATCAAACATCCAAACAATATGAAATGGCAGAGGGCAAAAAGTGTCAAACTCTACAAAGTCCACTTCAACTTTTCATCTTTAAATAACTTATTATTTTATATGTAAAATAATGTCTTGCTTTGATTATAAGAGAAGCATATATGTCATATGTACTGATTAGATATAAAGTCCAATGTTGTTTAATTAATTTGCAGTTGATATGTTTAATTAATTAAGGATCCAAGTAATTTCCCTAAAATGAAAGATATCAAATATATATTTATGATTAAAAAAAAACATATAAATAATGACATTAGATGTCAAATTATTGCATTTTGACTTTTGAGAAAGAAAAAAAATGTTAAGTGGGCCGTGCTTGGGCTAGTGTCGTGCTTGAAGCGTGCTCGGGCCAAGCCCGGCCCATGTCGGGCCATGGGCCAGCCCGGTACATTGGACCTCATTTTTTGATCCCGGCCCGGCCCAAGTTTTCGTGCCATGCCGAGCATGGCCCATTAATATTCGTGCTCGTGCCGTGCCGTGCCTCATTTAAATGGGCTGGGCTCGTGCCGTGCTAGGCCGGCCCGTCCCGTTTGACACCTCTACGTACAGCACGAGCACATAGGATGGCAACGGGCCGGGTAGGGGCCGGGTATGGCAATAACATCCCCGGCACCTGGCCCCATCCCCACCTCCATCCCCGTTTAAGTGGTTTCGGGGAATCCCCGTCCCCGTCCCCATTGGGGGCTATCCCCCATCCCCGCCCTTTTTTTGTATAAAAAAATACTAAGGCCTGAAAAAATAACCCACATTAATTTCATAGTTCATATTTGGAAAGAAAAAAAATTGCAAATCTAAAAGAAACAAAAAGTTGGGATATTCACGTACAGTTGCTCCTGCGTCAAGAAGCATTTCTACGCACGAGATCTTGCCATGCATTGCAGCCAACATAAGTGAGTTCTATATATTATGTTTCTCTCTCCACACATATACGTGAGTTCTATATATCATTTGCTGAAATTTTAATGACATCAATTTGTCTTTTATCCTCCAATTTAAATATTGTAATTTCTTATATATGTGGTGTTTCAAGAATAAAATTGTTTTTCCAATTATATTGGCCAAATATATATAGTATTAAAGTAGTATGTACAACTATAATATAGGCATGTTTCTTATATTCAAACAAGTGTATTGACCCAACATATAAATAATATACTACGATATGTTTTAGTATATATGCATATGAATTTATCAAGTTTGATTTTTGATTTATGGTTGATGAAGAGATGAGTTAGAATTAGGATAGTCTAAGAGTTTTCTATCTTTAAATATAACAAAATTGAACATACTATAATAGTATATTACTTTAACAAATTAAGGGTATATAACGTTATAGTTATAATTATAAGGGTATATAACATTATAATTTATACAAATTAAGGGTATATAACGTTAGTTTCAATAAGCATTATTCAGTTGCTGAATATAAATTTCAACCATCAAGTATGAAAGCAATTATGTGGGTTGGAGATGTTGGTTGTTGGGCAAAGGGATTTAGGGTGAGGAAGTATTTCCTGATGGGTTGGCATTTATGGTGATTTGGGTCTGAAGAAGAAGAGGAAGAAGGTGGACAGTAAGATTAATTGAAAGAAAACAATTCTTGGGGGTGCAGGAAAAGTGATATATTTGGCTGTATGTAATTGGTACTTAGATGAATGGGGTAAATTAAAACCCCAATGGACAGATGTATGACAATAATAATCAAATAAACCTGGAGACAATATGACTAGTCAATAACTAGTCATAGACTTATGAACATATGAACATAACATAGATGCACATCAAATATTCAAATCCCTGCAAGCCTAAAAGATAACTACGTGACAACACAGGCACTCAGAAGGACACGTCAATTTAGGCATCCTCTGTGCTAGCAACAACTAGAGTGATAGGTGTCTGAACATTCATCAACATTTCAGATATAACACAAACAGTATGACTAGGCATATAAATCAGAGAATCACACAAGAAATGTTTACCCAAAAACCCATTATTGGGAAAAACTGGGTTCATCACTTCGACCAGGCAATCCACTAAGTTAAGAAGGTTCTTACAGAAAAAGTAATCACAAGCTCAAGCAATCCTAGGTCTATTTAGGAAATGAGCACTACGCCATGGCACCGCAACTCAACTCCAGATTGATAGATCGATAGATCGATGAATATGTAGATTCAATGAATAAAAGATCGATTTCTTCAACAAACCATTCTTGAAGAAATTAATCCAAGAATCTGATCTAGATATCAATGAGAATGTGTTTAACTATCATAGATGCTAAATGTGTTTAACTATCATAGATGCTGATTTTGAATAACAAAGCAGATTTCAAAAAAAAATTTGAAAATCTCATTTTGGAAACCTCATACCTCACTCATCTCACCATTTGTAGAGTAGAAGAAGAAGATGACTCTCTTTCTCTCTCTCTCAAAAATGATGAATGAATGAGTGAAGAGGATTTCAAATATCAAAGCACATTTTTAAAATCCATTTTTCAAAATCTCATTTTGGAAACCTCATACCTCACTCATCTCACCATTTACAGAGGAGAAGAAGAAGATGACTCTCTTTCTCTCTCTCAAAAATGATGAATGAATGAGTGAAGAGGATTTCAAATATCAAAGCAGATTTTAAAAACCATTTTTCAAAATCTCGTAATGAAAACCCAGACTTCACAGAGAAGGAAGAAAAGCTCTTTTTCAAATATCAAAGCAGAGAAGAAAGGCTCTCAAAATTCTCTCTTTATGTCAAAGTGAAGGCTACAGTGTTGTAGCCTCCCTTTTTACCCAAAAAGAAATCTGCCCTAAATTCCCCTAGCTGGTAGCCACTCATTGGCTTCATAATAAGACAAAAATTCATCAAGACAGAAAACCTATAGCTGGTAACACGTGAGAAATTAAATGAGCTGGCAGTAATGGATGATTAGTCATCACATTGATTCGATATGTCCTAATATATATGCAATGCATGATTTACCTTTGAAGATCTTGATTGCATCGTGCCACTATTGATCTCAGCCATAGTAATAATCTGAAACTAGACTATTCTAGTCTAACTTAGAGCTTGATGAATTACATGTGCAATTACAAAGTTGTCAAGGGAAGCTAAAAGCCTTAGCTAAACATAACCTAACACTGTGATTCATGAGAGTGGTGGCAGTCGACCCACATCGCCTGCAAACAACCATGCACTTTAGTGATTTTGAGCTTTATAAATATCTTCGCCCACCCCAGCAGAGTTTTACCCAGACTTGAAGGCCACCCTGCCAAGGCGCTTGGGCCCAGAATGTCAACTTGATTTGGGCTTTAAAATATCTAAATATTAGTTTGAAAATTACATGGGCCGAGTAGGCCCAAACTAAAAGCCCGAAATAGTATAGCCCATGAGTAAGGCTAGGACTTAGCATATTTCATATAGGACTGGCCCGACTCGGCCCGATCACTTCCTAGGGCTGTAAAAGCCTGTCAATAGTAGGGTTTGGGCTCACAACTCCCAGAGTCGAGTTGGCCCGGCCCGACCGGACCCATTTTACAGGCATACCTATGTCTAAAGAAAAATAAAAGAAAGAAGAACTCATCAACTAAAGATTCAAATGAACTCTTTGAATGCAAACCCATCATATGCTCAATATAGGGTTCATAGTTCCAATGGAGTTTCCCCATATATACTCTTGCCTTAAACTGATTAAACAGGTAAAACAATTAATATGAGAAATGAATGTGAATTTAAAGGATTACTGCTAAGCCTGGTGTCAATTTGTTATGTTCAATTTCCTATTATTTCCTATTGTTTCATATAATTTATTAGCTTTTTATTTGTGCTTAAGTAAATCCTGACACAGCAAGTCCTGTATCTTTTGGCGGATCGGGATTAGGTAATTAGGCTCAATGGGCCAGGCCAGCCCGTTTAAAACTCATTTATTAAATTATATATTTTTTTGAAATATTACATAATATTATTATATTTATATATTAAATGCAAGTCTATTTATTTTCTGTAATAGTATATATTAAAATTTAATTTTTTTCTTTATATATGAAATAATAATTTTGCTTTTCAATTTTCAATTTTTAAAACTCAAACAATTATCTAGTGGCCTCTTTTTTTCAACAAATAGTAAATCTTGTTAGTATATAAATAATTGTAAAAAAATTACCAAAAAAAAAACAGTACATATGTCAAATTTGGCGTGGGCCCATATCGTCCCTTTTAGTGGCCCAACATGAGCACAGCCCGATCCCGTATGGACTTGGACTGCAGGCTGGAGTTGGGATTGATGATTTTCATAAATGGGCGGTTTCGGCAAGACCCGTTTATTAAATGGGCCCGCCCAACCCGACGTGGCTCATCTAACACCTCTTTCTATAAATTTATAAAATAAAAAATAATAATAAAAAGATGTCTAAATTAAGTTATATTTTCTATAAAGTAAAAATTTACAAATTTGTTGAACGGAAGAAACAATGATGTCATGAAGGAAAAAGGCCCCATTTGTTTTAAGCACTCCTCAATTTTAAGGAGCCAAGCTCTTTCCATGTATCCATATCAAAATAATGAACAAGCGTGAAAACTTTTGATCTTGTAGTAGGATGACACATGTCTCCAGACCAAGACTAAGCATACAATCTGCAATCTATGAAGAAGAAATGGTGGAATTACATATGTACTGTTGGATTGAATGGAGCTCAAGGGCATATTACCACAAAGTCAAATATATGTGACATTGGATCACAGCAAGTAAACCCTAATTATTTTTTAGGCTGAAGACTGCATTAAGAGTAGGCACTATCTAGGGCCTAACTCTTCCGCCACAACCTGACAGCTCCACCACATTATTTGACGATTAGTTGATAGAACTTCATCATTTTGGTCATCAGCTGTAATTCTGGGCTGCAGCTTCCATATGTAGTTCCGTTATACGTCACTGCACACTGGAGTTCAGCAAGCCTGCAATCTGCAAAAAGAGAATATTATAGTTAATAACATCATCAGTATGCTTCATTCACACCCACTATGGACATTCGCTAAAAAAAAATTTAGGGAAAGAAATAAAAAAGCTACGTGTATTGAAGAAAAAAGTGGATTTGTGTTTTGATGTTACAATCTCGATTCTATACATGCTTCAGAGTATGTGATAACTCGATTCCATGCACATTTGAACGCATCTCGTGTTTGATGAATCAAATCTACCATTTGATCCAAATTTATCTATATATTCAGCAAGAGCTGCTTACAAAATGAAGGAAAACTAGGTTGTACCTCTGGTAAGTCATTGATTCGATGATTTGAACAGTAGTTAGGCACTCTAGTAGTGGCATCATCTTCCTTTTCATCTTGGGTTTCATACCCCTCAGGCACCATACTGAAGCCAAGAATTTATTTTTAGACAAAGGTGGGTTTTTGCACATGCCAACACAGAAATAGGGTAAGTTTTATAGGCGGAGTAGTGGGTTCTACAAGGGTAAACAAGGGCATCAAGAGGTGCCAAATCCTAAGTATCTATCTTTTATATTTTATTTTATAAATTGATGCTGTTTATATCGGACGCCATTAGAGGAAAAAACCATACAAATATGGTAGACGTAGAGGAGCAAAATCCCTCCTTTCTTTTTTTCAATTCCTACCATATCATATATTTTTAATTAAATCTATCCTGTTATGGTGTATTTAAGGCCATTAGAAGGAAACTACTAATGTGCTCAATGAAAAGAAGCAAAATTCGCCTCAATTTTTTTCCCATATTCGTACAAAAACATCCTTCCATATAATTTATTTTTAAAAACTTTTTAATTGGTTTACTTTAAATGCAAAAACTATGAATATGGTCAATGAAGAGTAGTAAGATCCAGTCAACCGAATGGGAATCATCATTTGGAGCGCAGCCTAAGGTC